TTGTATATGTATAGATGTATATGTATGTACACAAATGCATATTCATGTAAGCATACACATGCATACATATTTAGAAAAATTTTAATTATAAAAAACTTGCCCAGGGTCATAAAGTTAGTTTGTGGCAGAGATGGGAGTGTAATGATTATTCTTTAATGTCATATTATCATTTGTAGTTAATAATAATACAGACACATAGAGGCCTAGTCAATTCTTAGTCTATAATATAGGTTTTTTTTAGGCTCACCTTACAAATGAAAACGTGACTTCAAAAAGTTTATTTAAGGTTGCAGAGCTGGTGAAAATCAGAGGCTCAAAGCCAAATCATGTTCTCCTTTACCCCAAGTATTACCCAGGCTTTCACTTTTAATTTTTCCCTTTCATTTTGCTGTTGCTGCTCCTAATTTACTAAATGTATAATAAATCTGAACTAAAAACATGTCTTCATTTTCATAGTGTTTCTTCTAGCATGATGGAGCTCACATAGTAGCACTAATCCCTCATGTTTCCTTTCTAACCACATAAAAGTATTTGATTGTTTAATGGTATAGTGGGAAAACATTAAAAGGGGGAAAAACCAGAGGTGAAGCAGTTTCTACGTAAACTCCACTGTCTCTTCACTATTTGGCTACTTTGTAGTAAATCAAATCCATTTTATATAATGAAGCTTGTCTTTATTATCCCATTATGGCTGCCTTAGAAAGGGAATAGTGTGTATGCTTCAGTGTGGGGTCATTTGTAATTATAAAAAGAGATGCAGGAGAGCCAGGCACTCCTTGTATGCCTTTAAAATCTGCTCCTTTGGTTGTTCTGCACGTTTTTACTGCTTTATAAAGAAAGTGTTGAAAGCTGTGTTTTTATTGCCCTGATGCCTTTAATAGTGCACACTGTGAAACTAAGCTGGATACCTGATTGATGCCATTCCTACCTGTCTAGGAAGATAATGATCAAACACCGAGGGGTCTGTTCACCAGGTGATGTGTGCATGGAACTCCCATTAATGGTAATGGGAACCTGCAGCTCAGCACAGTGACTGGAGACAAGAGGCTGAAGGTGTGGTAGGTCCATTAATACTTATTTCTTTCATAGCAGCTGGTTGGAATATAAGTGGGAGGCAGCCCTTTTGAAGCTAACAATCAGCCATATTTAAAAGGTGCTGCTCGAGTAAGACATGTAGATGTATTGTCAACAGACCCTTTGTATAAAATATACTTATGCTAAATTTTACCATTATGCGAGTCTTATAAAATGCTTGCTTTTTTTGAATGATGTTTCCATAATTTATCTTCCTCAAAATGGCTGGTTAAAAGTCTATAGAGAATTTTGATAATTGGGTAGTTAATTGAAAAATAGAGATGTCAAATTTAGGAGCCAAAAGAAAAGTATTTAAAAAGGTCGATAACATACATTGATTATAACCTAGATGAAAGAAGAAATGCATGATATACAGAAAAGATGAAATTCCACACTTAGGTCAAGTCATATTTTTAACTAATTCAAAGATAAGAAACATGTATAGTATATATTTAACATGTATAGATATGAATTAATCCACTAACAAAATAACATATAAATCAATCCATTATATATAACATATATATTAATTCATATATATCTATTAATCCCCTAAC